CTCAAGGCTGTGCTGGAATTATAGGCCATTTTGTTTGTGAAATAGCTCGGGAAGCTTGGCACCATTGATTTGCATCAGTGCCTCCAGAATAGCCTTTGCCTTCTCCTTAAAGATACTATCTAAACTGTGAAATTCATTAAATAGCCCTAGAAATGGATCAGGTTATTTAACACAACATCCCTAATGGCGCAATATCTCAGCTGTCCGCACTGATAGTGAACATTGTCTCAGATAGTGTTATCAGCCCAGGACACCCGCTATGAATATTGATCCCGGGTTTCTTATAGGCATCACTTGCCATCAGGACAGGTCAGGGTTGGAACCCACCTAGCATCAAAGCAATTTAAAGACAGCACTCAGGCTGAATTTTAATGCCCATGCAGAAAAAAAACCAAAAACCAAAAAACACCTAACTCCATGCACAGAGGAAGGTGGCTTGTTGGATATGGGTATGCGTATGATATAGGAATACCTTATAAACACATTGGTGTGGATCTATATCAGCTAGCCAAATGCATTGCCAAGTTGTACCGAAAGGGAGGCCTCGCTGCCTCCTGGTCTTTTATACAGCAGGTGCCACAAAAAAAATTCCCCTAGGACATCCCCCTCCAGTGTCCTGCAAATTGAAGAATGTGTCCTGGTTGCAGGGTGGGTGGGGGTTCTCTTTGGTTGGGGGGGTTCTCTTTAGGTGGGTGAGTAAGAGAGAGCATTTCTATCCCTCTGATGTCAGTGGGAGACACAGCTGTGTTTCCTGTGTGTCATCTATGCCCAGAAGCCAAGTACTGAGAATGAGAGTTCATGTAACCTTGCACTGCACGGAACACACACATCAGGAATGTGGGAAAAATGAAGGGCAAGAATTTTTTTTTTTTTTTAAGGTGACTGGTAAGGGGATCTTAACCCTTGACTTGGTGGTGTCAGCACCACGCTCTCCCAAGTGAGCTAACCGGCCATCCCTATATAGGGATCCAAACCCGTGGCCTTGGTGTTATCAGCACCACACTCTCCTGAGTGAGCCACAGGCTGGCCCTAAGAAAAATTTAAAAATCATTAAGAGAAGGAGTTCTTAAAGATTCACAGGTTTAGGGCTGGCCCGGTGGCGCACTGCTACAGTGCGCCGCTTGGGAGTGCAGCGGCGCTCC